AGTAGAATCTTCTATGGCAAAGTCTTCTGTTTTCAAAGTTATTTTTAACAAACTCAGCATATTCGAGCTTCACTTTTCTCACATGGCTGCAAAAGGGAATTGTCCACAAGGGTACTAAATCTTCGGCTTGCCAAGGATATCCTTACTTTTTCGCTTCAAATGCTTTTATTATGGCAATTTAACAAATAAACACTGAAATGACAGCAAGTTTTGAAACGGCGATCTCACGCTGGCTAGCTCAACGCTCAGACAAGTAGCCTTTATCATTTAGACTGTGTGAAATTAGTTAATTTTTTTGAGAATTCAGAGTATTGCAATTATCTTCAATATGTATTCGCTCCATCTAGCCCCGCTTTTGGAGGCTGTAAAAAGCGCCAAATTCTAGATACAAGTTCAAGTATTCAAGCTAACTGGAAATTGTTAAGGTGACTGAAATAAATCCCAAATTCACTTTATAAAAGGCTACATTAGATTTACGTAAGCAGGCAAGAAACGCGGTTGGCCCAAATGCGTTTCGAGGAGAGGCACATGTAATTGAATGGCGCATGTAACGCCAAGAACAAAACGGTCAAACTCCAGAAAAATGTTATCGATATATTCGTCAGGTAAAACGCAAAAGGCGTTGCACAACAAACAGCCTGCATCAATGATACGTAATCAAAAGCCTTGGTAACTGTCAAATCCAAACGGAGCTATAATCGGAATTTGCAAGCTAATCAATGAGCACCGAGCGTAAGGAAAGGCACTGACAGCTATATAATATAAATACAATGGTGGACAAAATAAAAAGAACAGCCACATTTGCATTCCAGAAGACACAGCATGATCGATACAATATTATAATATGGTATACACATATAAGTGTGCCTGAACTTAAAGTAAAAGTGAGCAAAAGTTGGCAAAGTTTTTGCGGTTAGTCTGCGGCAATTCAGTAGCAAAACCGGATTCGAAATGTATTCCGTTCGGGTCAGTAAATTGGTAAGTCATTGAAAGGGTAAGAACACAAACCGCTTAAGCGTGTTGCCTGCCCCATGCAAAGACAACCGAAAATCGTACAATTTGTCAATTGTTTTGCGGGCAACAAAAGCATTTTTATGAAGCTGTTCGGACTTTTTTGACCGCCACTATTTATGAATATGCATATATTATGCTTATATAAATGCCAAATGCAGCTTGTCTATAACAGAAGCCCAATCTGCGACAGCAGTCAAAAAGGTTCAATCGCGGAGCGCAACGTTGCGTATACGTTATATTTGCCAATTGCAGGCTAAACTTATTATGCGCCCGTTCGTTAAGTGGAAACGAGTATATTGGTTTTGCGCTATGTCCGCATTTAAGGAATATATCTATATGTATTTGTATGTACGTGCGATTATTTATTTACATATATCTTTTGTAGTTTTAAAGCCCAACTAGCCACGCCCACCAGGGAATGTAACCAGTCAGAGAATTCGATATTTCCTTACCAAAAATAGGCGTAAAATGATTGCATCCGAATGTTAAACAAAACTCTCGCAGCTTGTTAGACACTTAGTTTGCATAGATATTTCACATCCTTCTATTCCCCCTAAGGTCAACAGATCAAATCGAATTGAAACCTTGGGTGCCAACAGACATATGCATGCCATCAAGCTATTAAAACAACGAACTTGGCCAAGAATGCATTTCTTATAATGTGGAACGAAAGGTAGAAAAAGTGTGCTTTAAGAGTCTGTTCGACGCTCGGCTCAGGGTATCAACGCGTCGAGTATACCCGTCCAGAGGGTGATTTCTTGCTTACGCAGTTATTATTACGGTCGACTGCAACACGCTTACTTGCTGCTGCTGCTGCTGCTGATTCTGATGCTGCTGCTGCGCATCAATCACGATTCGTGGGGGCAATTGCTGCAAGCAGCAACAGAAGATGGTTGGTAACTGCAACACATATGCATATTTACATACATACAGACACACACACACACACACACACACACACACACACACACACACACACACACACACACACTTGTATGGTGTTTGTGGTAGGGTGCGCGAGTTGGTTGGGGCTGTTGGCTGTAGTCTAGCAACCACAGACAAGCCATGCTATTCGAGCTTTGCTTTGAAATAGACTGGCGGCAATCTTTCAATGTGCATTTAGCTTATTTGTTTGGTTATTAAAAGAAGCGCAACAAAATAGATAACTTGACGGGCAACAAACTAAACAACTAGACAACTCAATAGCTGCCAAAGGTAGCCGACAGAAGAGAGTTTATTATTTTCGAACTTTGATGCAGCACTTTGTGCGACTTATTGCCCAGCTAAATAGTCCTGAACATATGCGCAAAGTTTTAAAACTTCCAATTGGCTTCTAATTAGTCACAAAGCTATGTTCACAATAAGCGAGAGTGTCCGACTAGACGATAGCCTGAAGCTGCGTTCACAATTATTCAAAAATTCTAGCACAAATGAGAAATTTATTCTTGCGTTACTTCGATTTTTATAGTACGACCTTTATGAAATTTGCAGGTGAGTAAGTATGACATACATAAGTATGTATGTCCCAAAGCCCAAGGATCTACCATATCAAAAAAGTTTCTTTCAGTTATAGAGTTTCTTTCAGTAAATATATACGACAGGTCGAGTTTAGCTTCTATAATCTTCGAGCTATACTTGAAAAACATGTCTCAAAATCGACACTTATCGATTTTATGAAACTAAAATATACAACAATAAACTTGTTTCGCATAGGGTATACGAATAGATATATATACATATATATATATATATATATATATATATATATATGTATATATATATATTTTAAGCCTCCAGCATCTTTGGGGTACGGACAGATGGAGACACCGGCAGACAGGCTAGAAATGGCTTCGGAGATACTTCCTTCTGCATGTTATATATACATTTCCCCAAAAACCATTATACCCAACTGTAATTGTGAAATATTAACGGAAACTTACATGATGCAATATTCAAATTTTAAACACAATGCGTATCACATTTCATGGACAAATCATAAAGTGCCGAGCAAGTGTAAGGGTAGCAAGGGCAGCGCGCATTTAAAAGGATAGGTTGACGTCGAGCGGTTGACCAGGTGCATGTTTATGACTGCTCCGCAGCACTGAAGGAGCGCAGCATCATAACATAGGAAATGGCCGAGCGAACCACCTGTAAAGGAGAGAAAAAAATGCGAGTTGAGTAAAGTAATTGGCAGCTGGCATGTCTTGAACGTACCGCTGAAAAGGTTGCCATGTTGGGCTCAAAGAAGTAGCCGTTCAGCTGGCAGGGTCGCTGGGCGCGCATGATGGCGACAATGAGCAGCCGCTTGGTTCGCGGCGCAAAGTCCACCCAGTTGCTATCGTAAAGGGCAACGGCAAAGTCGGCACTGGCCTGCTTCATATTCTCACCGCAGTGCGAGTAGATGAACAGGGCGATAAGCAGGGAGCCCACAAAGAAAACAAAGTAGATGCATTCCGGGGAGGGAAACAGGTCGGCCAACTGAAATCCAAGAAAGCACAGCTGCAGCGCCGTTACAAAGAACTGCATAAAGACCAAGGGTCGGAGGCTGTGTCCCAGCTGGGTGCCAATCAACAGACCCGTCTGATGTAGTTCCAACACCTCCACCAATGCCTGAAACTCCTGCTGCGGGGCTTGACTCCTGGGCAACAGATGTCTGATGCGATGCTGGGCAATCTTAAAGACGGCGCACACATTGTACGTAAAGGCAAATAGCAGCGTATCCATGGCCAATGACATGGTCACAGCACCATAGCTGGCCATTAGGTTCCAAAGATAGGTGGGCGCATAAGGTAGAGGCGCCTGATCGCTCCACGGATAGACACCCGAGTGGGGCAACTCCAGGTGGGTGAGGCCTGTGCGCAGCCGGGTCGTTATCATGATGACAATCGGCTTAATGCCAGCAAAGATTAAGGCGCCAATGAAACAGCGCATATAGGTCAAGCTCAGGGATTGATCGCTGCGGTTCTCCGCCTCCACAATGGCCGCTGTCTCAGGCAAGGCTTTGATCTCTGCAGAAAACGTCGTTATTAGCAACAGGATACGAAATGATTTAACATCCCGTCACTTACCCCGCTCGAGAATATCGCGTATGCGATAAATGAGCTGAACAAACCGCTTGCGATAGTAGACAAAGACGGAATACTTGACCAGAGTTAGCATTATGGCCAGTAGAGAGCCCATGGCATCGGACATGATGCTAACGTTGGTCAAGTTATGCAGAATCGAAAAGAAGAGTGGAGCCATAAAGAAGCCCATCAGGCCAATTACTAGCAGCGTTAGTTGTGGACGATCGTGGGAGCTGCTGCTGTTCCACAAATCGTAGCCCATCAGACGAAATGCCAGGACTTGCACGCGCAGAAAGTAAGCCGCATCCATGGTTGCAGTTAATCCGTGCACGCGGCAGCTTGTCAATGCCTTATATATTCGCCCGGAGGCACACATACATATGTGCGTGCACCAAGTGGGTGCGGCATATGACAATGGTGACATACGACCTTCATTGGCCAAGTCCCCATAGAATTCCGCTTTAATTAAATATGCGCATATATTTTTTGCCATTGTAGAGCTGAAGAGCCAAAAGCCAGGTATTTACGGCTGCTTAAATGACAACGCATGAGGGCTACGATTTTTTAATTACACAGTCCAATTTTCTATTCAGTTGCGCCCGTTCTCAGGCTGCACTCTATAATTTTAATCGCAATTAATCTGTGTAGCTGCTCGTGCGGATTCAAAGCGCCTAATCCTTGTAATTAAATGAGATTTGCCAAAGCTGCAGTTGACATTTGACAAGCAAGCTAATTCCAAAGCCATGCAATTAGTGCAGTGCGGTGGTGTTAACAACGCAAAAAATGTTGTTTACTTTTTTAATTTTTAAGCGCCAACGTTAGCTATTATCGATAGTTGATGGCACGCAGTGTTGTACCATACAGAGTTGCCCACTCGTTGCGTTAGGTGGCAACGCAAGCACAACAACTGCACGAACTGGCAACACACGCACGGTTGTATAACCCTATTCGCAGAACTTTTTTTTTGGCACTTGAAACAGTTTCAACCCGTCGCAAAACAAACTGAAAGTGAGTTAGTTAAGCCTGCTGCAACTGCCACATATTAGTTAAATACATATTATTTAAATTCATCTTACATTTGCAGCAATGGCTGGCGAACAAGAGAAACTGACCGGCCTGGCCAAGCACTTCAATGGCACAACCATGGCCGGCCGTGCCAATGTAAGTAGAGTTGAGCTCATCTGTCAGCCAATATCGTGCAGATTAGCTTGAATTTTGTAATCGCAATATTATTACATTTTGCAGGTGGCCAAGGCAACATACGCAGTCGTGGGCCTGCTCATTGCCTACCAGATCCTGAAGCCAAAGAAGAAGTAGATGGCATGCTCTGCCACCTGCTTGGTGCCACCAATTTGATGCGCTCGTCGTCCTGGTCAGGACACAAGCCATGTATATTTATGTGTAGTGCAAGATCTTAAAGGAATAAACAATTTAAATATCTAACACACGGAAAGCCGAAAACCGAATTTCATTATGTAATACTTACAGACTGTTGGGAGTGTATGCAACAGTCGCTTCACACGGATGCATTGAAATAATAACAATATTGTTTTATAATACTGCCCTTGGGCAAGCTAATGGCTTTAACCGGGCCCATTATGCACGCTATGTGGCCCATGAGTTTAACGTGTATCCTTGGCTGTGCGACAGCGACAAACAGCGAGCATGCTGTCTCGCTCACATTTGTAGTGGCCACTATTCTCGCTCTAAATCGTTGCCATATCTTTGCGAAGTTTTGCACGAGAAGGAATTGTTGAATTGTTGTTGCTGTTATTTTGTTTTAAATATTTTATTTATTTAAAGTTTTTATTTCATTTTATCGAATTTGCTTTAAATGATCCGTTTTGGGTTGTTTTTATTATCTATATTTTTGTTTTGTGTTCATTTGTTTTAGCTCAGTTTTTCGAAATTTCAGTATTACTACAAATTAATTAGAATGAATCAAATGTAAAAATGGTTTACATATATGTACGTATGTGTGTATTATATGCCCATGTATTTAAATT